TTGTCTTCCTGCAGAGTCTGTGGGGACCTCTGGCCAGCGGCCTGTCTTCTGCCCAGTGCACAAGCAAGAGGCACTGAAGCTGTTCTGTGAGACATGCGACAGACTGACCTGCAGGGACTGCCAGCTACTGGAACACAAAGAGCACAGGTATGACTGTATCAGGTGGCCTGTAAAGTCCAACACAGAAACAGTGTGCTAGATTATTTACAAGCCTTTACATATTTTCTGAACAAAAGGAGAATAGAACACAATATAAGGAATGGTGAGATTACTGAAGACCTCAATTTTATTCTTAATATTTGCATGGGCAATGTGTGAGTTGGTCCAAAATGTATAACCGCAGACAAATAAGGGTTGCTAAGTGTTGGAGCAGCAAAAAACCCCCCCAAAAACGAGCACAGCCCCATCATCGTTTGCAATCCAAAATAAGTTTTTTTTTGTCCAAGATCAAGAACTTTCTAGAGCCGATTTCCAAATCACATCCTTGGTAAAAAGTGTTTTGTAAAAGAAGAATCTTTAATGGGACATAACATGCACATGCAGAAGATGCATTAACTGATCTCAGAACTGCGCATCACGTTATGGGCATATTGTTTCATCTTATTCTTTTCCAAGGGAAGACCTGGTGGGTTCCGAAATTTTGCCTTTGTGATGTGCATATAGGCAGTCAGAGGGCTTACATTTTGATGTTCATTTGTAGCTGAGTGTACCCAGGGGGTCAGGGAAGAGATGCAGCCCAGGAAGATGGGAATGGGGCTAAAAGTGAACACATCCTGGGTCAGCCAGTAGAGGAGCAGGAGGACAAGCGAGGATGTAGGCAAGCACTGGAAACGACAGACTGGAAGGAGGAAGTAGGGGGTGAGAAATAGGGGGTCTTTAATTTGAGGAAGCACAGAGAGGCAATGGAGTGTGTCAAGTAATTGTTTAGTGCTTATTCACTAAACTGCTTCACTAAAATTTATTCTTGTATGTGGCCAAGGTGTTACTTTCAGAAGAATGCAGAGAAAACGCAGATCATTTTCAGAATGAGCCTGCGCTCGGTTTATGATTAATGTGGGGGATAAACTAATAGCATTGCAGTCAGCACCCCTGAGGACACCCCACTATTGCAAACCATTGCATGAAACATGCCCCCCATGCCATGAAGCTCTCCATATCATACTAGAGTACCCAATAGAGTAAAGCCGGTGTCCTTGTGTTCCTTCGTCTGATGGCTGAATGCTCAGCTACTGTACAGTGCAGCAGTTCAAACAGCCAGAACGAGCACTGTTGGGCTATGTTGCCTGTGCCAGCCTTGAGGTCTGATCATTTTTTCTTTTGTACAAAGCCCTTTTATATGTGAATTATGCTCAGTTTTTATATGTGAAGGTGAGTTATGCTCAGTTTCTTTTTCCTCTCCCAAGGATGAGAGAGATGATTATGGATTACGTACTATTATTTCATTTATGTTACCTTATTTGTGTGTGTTCCACAGTGGTGTCTACTTAATTTCACCTCGCCCTCATGGGATGAGATTGAGTATATGTAGCTAGGGATGGTAGGTACCAGTCTTCTGCTCCCAGATCACCACATGTGACTACTTAAGGCCTTCCCTATGCCCCAGGACAAACCAAAAAAGGTGTTCCACATTTAACTAAAGCAAGTCATGAAAAGTGACATGGATCTGCATGATTTTCTACACTGTTATAAATAATGTTGTAGAGCCAGTTCCCTCTGGCCTATCCACTGTGACATACAGAAGATATTATGAAGAAAGGAGTTTAAGCAAAGGATAGTTGTCTGTCAGCTCTTCTGTCCATTTTTATCGGTCAGTTTAAAGTGGACGTTTTTCTCTATAGAGTTTTACTAGAAAACATTCTGCACATTCCTGAAACATGCATTTTCAGTTTATAAGTCATTTTAAAATGCTGCATGTAGTTTCCAAAAAGGATGCCAGATGTTTCATTCTTACCTGGCTTTACTGTTGTGCTTTGAAATAAACACTCCTTTCACCTTGCAGTCTTTCCTCAAGTGTTTTGTCTATCTGCAGTTTATTGAATTTATTTTTTAGGTTCAGTGGTCATTCAAATTTGATATTAATATGATGGGAGTGCTGTAGGCTTTATACTAATGACTATAGTAGTAATCCCATTGAGAAAGCACAGAATCCAGAACACTCTCCCCCAGCTCCCTCTGATTTGGTGCTTATGGGAGCTGTTGGGGAGAATGACATTTCTGATGTGAAAACAAACTCGTGCTAGTGAGCAAACTGTTCAACCCTAATTTGGATTTGCTTTGTTACTCTGCTTGGATTGTGCAAAACCCACACCTGATTTCCTTGTAGGTACCAGTTTTTAGAAGAGGCATTCCAGAACCAAAAGGGGATAATCGAGACCTTCATGGCCAAGCTCCAAGAAAAGAAGAATTATGTGCAGTACTCGGCCTCTCAGGTTCAGAGCAGGTAACAGGAAGTTTCTTTTGCCTTCATTTTTTTTGGTGTAGATGTTGTAATAGGCAAGTGCGCTTAGATCTGTTGTCACCTTGTCTTTAGGATTAAAGAAGTGAATGAGACGCACAGGAAGGTGGAACATGAAATCAAAGTTGCTGTATTCACGTTAATTAATGAAATCAACAAAAAAGGAAAATCATTGCTACAGCAATTGGAGGTACGTACCAAGGCATTAAATACTGCTAATAGTAATTAGTTTATCTGATGTCTTTTTCCATACTGATCTGCTTATAGCGACTAAGGGGGTTAAGTGTGGTCTCAACAGCTGTTGCTTCCTGGCCGGATCTCAGGAGAGCTGCAGGATACCTGACATCTTGTTTGTTACCTGTGCTTATATATCACTACATAAGTTGAGTTTTGCTTCTCACAGAATTCTTCAGGCCTACACAATCTGCTGGTACTCTGAGGTCTGAGGTGAAAAGGTATATAAAAGATGTTGGCCATTGTATAAGGCTGTTCTCTATAAAGACCACTCCTGCTCTAGAGCACACACAACTAAAAATGTTTTTAGGACTGTGTGAATATTTCTAGGGCATGCACATGGTTAAACTGTATGTTCTTTCAAGCATCTATTACTGGTTAAATAACACCTTTGTCGAAGATAAATCAGTTTAAGAGTTGATAATGGTCATTTGGTATCTTTTTTTTATTGAGCAAAACAATCCAGTGTTACAAGGTGTGATGAGCTTTGACTGAGCTGAATGGTCTGTTCTGTTTTTCTTATGTTACTTTTGTTCAATATTTGGCAAGGAATTGTCATCTATATTGCCTGACTCATTTCAATAATAGTGGAGTGTAATAGTAAACTTCACATCTGACAGATATCGACAACTACAGGAATCATTAAAACAATGTTATCTGTTTTGGAGTGTGTTGTATGCCGGGCATTGCCATCTCTTTCAGCTAAGTGAGGCAGTAAGAGTTTCTGGATGGGAATCCTGTTTGTGCACCAACCAACTTCTGTGTAAGTCTTGGCACACAGAAGCAGTGACTCACGCCTCTCACCTGCTGTCTCTCTCCCCACTCGCAGAGTGTGACGAAGGAGCGCAATGTGAAGCTGATGCACCAGCAGCGTGACATCAACAGCCTAGCCCAGCAGATCATGCATGTTCTCAACTTTGCCAACTGGGCAATCGGCAGTGGGAGCAGCACTGCTCTGCTCTACAGCAAAAGACTAGTAAGGGTCATCTCACATTGTTCCAGGCAATGCAGCCTGATGACGTTAATGTTAGTTGTCTTATCTTTACTTAGGACTCTGAAGCTGCCCATAAGCTTGAAAGTGGGGTGAAAGATAGAACAGTATATTATTACTGCATGTGACATCACAGATTTTTTTTAAAGTACAGATTAAATAATTTTGATCTTGTGGCCAATTGAAAACGCACACCTGCTACTTGTAGCAGTTTTCGGTTTTGCCCACGGCTTTTTAAATGCTGTTTTGTAGAAAGCCAGAAACCAGCCACCATGTACTGGGCTTATAGTTTGTAATTGTGGTCATTTCAGACTTTTGCTACTCATTGTTCTTACGTTTCTGATACCAAAGATATACTGGAGATGTGAAAGTGCTAAAATGATTTGTGCTGCTGATAGGGTTGTGCAGATTTATATTTTTCCCCCACTCTGTTGCTATGGATGAATACAATAGGCTGCCCTAATTTCTCCACCGTTGTTAACTGAGGTGATGGACTGTGAAACTGGAAAGCATGTCAGGACTTCTTCTTGCCTCCTAGATAACATTCCAGCTGAGGCACATCCTAAAGGCACGATGTGATCCGGTGCCTCCAGCCAATGGGGCTGTGCGCTTCTTCTGTGACCCCACCTTCTGGGCCAAGAATGTCGTAAACCTGGGTGAGTCCTCGCTTACTGTAGCTCCCTGGAGCCAGTGTTGCCCTTGACAAGTTTCACTTCTGTGGTGTATTTTTTAATATCAGAATTAAAGTGTATAGTACCATGCTTCTATAGCCAATACAAAACAATACTGGCTATAAAAACATTAGCACCTCCCACAACAGAGGTATTTGTCTTATTTATACAAACCTTCACTGCCTAACTCCTCCAGCTTAATCAAAAGTGCACAAAATACCAGATGCTTGTGGTACAACTTGTGCTTCGTAATCTTTTGCAATCGTAGTTCTTCAAGTCAAGAATACTCATTTTAAAATGATTGACCCCTGATACCCTCAATAGGTTGCGGTTTTGAAGAAAATTTATTTCCACACCATTTTTCTTTGGTTTTCTTTATTTTTGGACTCCCTGAATACCTTATTACTTGAATACCATGTTACCATGTGGTACGTTTACTTGCATGTGATTACATGTTCCTAAAGAAACAACCATAAGTGTACAAAACTGGTGTGATTTATAACCCATTAGGATTTCTTTAGAAGCATGCTTTATATGGAAGCATTTGTAAATTCCATATTATCTTTGTGTATACATTTTTTCTGGTGCGTTCACAAGGCACCAGCATGCGATATTAACAATGAGAGTTCCTAATTGCTGCTGTTTATTTTAGGTAACCTAGTGGTGGAGAACAAGGCCCCTGTTGTCCACCCTCCCAACATGGTGGTGGGGCAGGTGCCCAATGTGCCGAACCATGCGGGCAAGCACCCAGGCCAGATCAACCTGGCACAGCTGCGGCTCCAGCACATGCAGCAGGCAGCCTATGCGCAAAAACAGCAGCAGATACAGCAACAGATGCGCATGGCTCCCCAGGTTTCCCAGCATTCACGGCAAGGGGGGCCCCAAATGGTCCAGCAGCAGGTCAGTTTTGCCCCTTTCTATCCCATTTATTGCATTGAATAAAGACCTATACATTTCCGAGAATTTTTTTTGAGATTTTCTGTTTTTTGAAATTGAAATTTTTATCAGACAAGACACTTGAGTTAAGTTGTCTTGGCCAGAATGAGTGGTAGTCGGTGATGGGTCGTAACTGACAGTTGCTGTTGAAGCAGGGTGTGAAAGTAATAGCGTACTTTATTTCATTTAAGTTTAAAAGTTGAATTCCATTTATCCACTTGGTAACACGACCCTATACCTCAAGGCACAGGTTATCCCATTAAAAACGGATGAATTGGTTTCTGTTGTAATGAGTCTGTTCATGGGACGTGTAGAAAAGCTACTGGACTGGCTTTTAAGGGCCATAGCTGGACATCCTTATTATGGCCTTATGTAGCAAGATGTGTATTTTTTGTTATGCTGTGTCCCCTCAGTCTAGCCTTTGGCTGTTTTTAACTAACAAAGCACTGCTAATTACCAAGCAAAGCCTGAGCTGCTTTCACATCTCATTGCAGTGTGTAGCTCAATCGGGTTTTTACAGGTGATGCTGATCACTAACCTAGAACCAGCAAAACTAGCATTAGAAGGCTCCAAAGCCAAATCATTTTTTTCTTTCTTCTCTTTTCAGCATGGAATAAACCTATTACTTGTTCCTTTGTAGCATTTTAGTCCTGCAGACTAAAGTTGTTGAATAAGTTGTTCCAGCTATTTTCAGTAGAATAAATATGCAAGTAATGTTCAAAACTTGCAACTGATTTTTAGTATTATCTGGAATTTAAAATAACACCCGATACCCATTGTATTTTAAAGGGGGGTATGTGATGGTGAAATGACACTAAACACTATTGAACACTACAAATTAATTCGCATTTGAAGTAGTGGTTGTGATGCATTTTAGTTAATGGTATTTGAGGCCAGCTTTTACATTTACATGGAAATATAAGCATATTTAAATCCAGTCTACCCTGCTGTGACAAATTAGTCTGGCTGCCCTTCTCTAAGTTGGTGTTCTGTAGAGATGCCTACTTGATGGGTCTTTGCTTCCAGTCCACTGAAATGAACAGGGTTTTACTGTGCTAGATGGGGATTAACACGTGTTGACAAGACTTAAGTAAGATGTTGATAAGACTTTTCAGTGCATCGTGGTGTATGATTGTCAAACAACCTAATCTTCCCATCTGTACCTCAATTTCTCAACTGAATTGAAATTAATTTTTTTATAATTAGTATACAGTTTTAAAATTGTTTATACAGTAGGTTATTGTTCTATTTAATTTAGGGAAAAAATGATGAAATTACAACATTTTGACTGTAATATACAATTTAGTAACACTAAATCAACTTTGTGCATGTTTATCTCACTAATTGAAACTAGATTGCGTTCTGTATCATTCAGATTGAGTCTGCAGAATAGTTATAAATTAACCAATACTTAAGATCCTAATTACATGTTGACTTTAAAGATTTATAATCGGTAATTTTGCCACCATCATGAAACTGAACACTGAAGAGCTGCCCTCTTCAGGCCATCTGCGTCAAAGAAACCCGTATACCCCAGTTGAGCAACGCATTCTTCCAGTTCTCATTAGTTCAATGAATCGCAGGCAGTCCAGTTTTGCTTTTGAGTAAAGAATTCTTGTCCAAAATTGACATATACAATATACTTTACTGCAATTGTAGCCCCCATAAACCGCCGCTAGATTTGAATATCAAATCTACAAAGCCAGTGGGTACAAAAACACGGGAGTAAAAATGGAAAAGTGGGCTGAAGGGCGACATCAAGTGTTCAAACGGGAGGATAACGCAGCATTTTGAGATCTTGTTCTGTTGGCAACAGCACTTTAGGTTGGAGCATTCGTCAGGTATTTGTTATAGAAAGGGGTATTTTCAACGCGTGCTTTAGTCTGCCGTCTGTCCACAGGCTTCTTACAGGAACCTCTCTTCCACGTGATACTGAAAGCGAGTTGATTTTTTTTAAAGCTAAAGACAGTGGCTTTTTAGTCTTCCCCCAGGATTTCGTCGCCTTTAATCTGTTGCGCATGTGCAGCAGTATGTAAACAGAAGAGGTACGAGAGTGGTGTCTTAGAAGAACATAAGGCCGAGCCTTATTTGATTTTTATTTTCTGTGGCTTTACAGATTTGCAAATTAAGTGATTGGTATAGGGTATCGATTGTTTTATTTTCAGAGCAAAATCCTCTTATTTTCTAGTCCAAAATGTTTATTTATTTGCGTGATGTCGCGTATAGAAGACCAGAGCTGTATGTAGATCAATCGTTGAAGGCCCCTTAGGATATTTGGATTTGAGAGAAAAAGTACTTGTCAGCCGAGCGACCTCTATTTTATTCGACGGCAGGCTGAATTTATTTAACTTTGCAGCAACTAACTGCACGGAAGAATTCGCGAAAGAAGCAATACATTTCTTGGTACCAGGGCTGTGCAGGCTTCTTTGATGTAGATCGCCTGTATAATCGCTGCAGATTTTTTACTCGGAGAGACTTAAGTCTTGTATAACCTTGAAGCTTTTGAAAGTTTTGGAAAAGAGCGCTTGCTAGTATGATTAGATCATTGAGCATTATGCAACTCAGAAGGAATGAAAGACTGACTTGAAAGTAGACTTTTAATCTCAATTGTTTAACTGAGGTTATGTTATCTCAATAAAACAATTGAAATTAAAAATTATGTAAAGTACAATTATGTAATCTCAATAAAATGTAATTTATTAGGTCTACTTTTCTTGAAATTACATACCCTATATAGTAAAGAAGTTTCACTTTTTATTCTGCTGATTGAATTTGAATGCGTCTGGACAGTACAATTTAAATGTGGAGAAGCTTTGCAATATAATATTGTTTACACGTTTTTTAAATAGTGGTTAAACAAGAAAATACACTATTTTCCCCTACTGAAGGCACAAACATCACTGCAGATGCTTAACTGTGATAAGAATATTTGAGGATACATTATTTTTTGGGGTTATGTTTTACACATTGCAAGAACAAAACATTTGAATGAGGGAGTAAATTATGGACTTCATAAACCTACTTCTCAAATGGGTTAGAACTGCAGCAATTACGAATTTTGCCTAAACTCTGGAGTCACCAGGCATCACTGCACAGCATATTCTGCTCACCCAAAGTTATGAATCAACATAATATCTGTTGATATTATACATTAGAATTTTTTTTGTTATAAGTGCAATGTTTTCTGAATTTATTTTACTACAGTATACTCCCATTTAAAAAGGCAATTAACTGTCACTGTAATCTTCAATAGGCATGTTTAATGAAACATTCCTTTTCTTCTGGATTAAGGATAGTTTTTGTGGTAGTGTTATGGTTGATTATTACATATGTGTTTTGGAACAGATATCAAGAGGGCTTGTGTGTTTTTGCTGGTTCATGAAAACCTGCAAACACTGGATAATTAATATGTGAGAAACAATCTGTGGGATTAATGCACACCACTAGTTGAGTGGCTGATGAGGAACATGCAGTGGCTGAACTAAGAGAAAAGCAGCTTGCTTTAATAGTTCTAACTGAAATAAGACTCAACCAACAGTTAAAGTAATCTAACACAAGCAACAAGTACTGAGATGATGATGATGATGATAATTGTTTACACTTAAATTGCACTTTTCTGGACACTCCACTCAAAGCGCTTTACAGGTAATGGGGACACCTCTCCTCCACTACCAATGTGCAGTATCCACCTGGATGATGCAACCACAGCCATAGTGTGCCAGAACGCTCACCAGACATCAGCTATCAGTGGGGAGGAGAGCAGAGTAATGAAGCCAATTCATAGATGAGGATTATTAGGATGCCATGATTGGTAAGAGCCAATGGGAAATTTGGCCAGGATGCTGGGGTTACACCCCTACTCTTTTCGAGAGATCTCTGAACTCTATAGATGTACTACTAATTGTTTGGCTGCTGGGGTCTAACTGATCCAGGATCTCTGTGGTAGAGATTAAAGGCCCATTAAAGAGTGATATGGATGGTGAATGTGTTGACACGGACATGCTTCATTAATTTTACTTTCTGCACTCGTTTTTATTTGGTTCTTTGCTAATAGAGATCAGAAGGAGTAGACCAGCCATGGAGTAGAGCTGACAGGTGTAGATGTTTCTCATTATTTGTACACATGGGAGTTTTTCTACGTACTGTGCAAGGTAGATTCTGTCCGAAACCTGAGTGAACAAGTGCTTTTTGTTGATTGTTGCTATTTTTTATGTAACTGTAGATCTGGTTTTTAAACAATTGATGTACCATTTTTGTTTCCACACAGCCTCCACGGTTGATAAGTATGCAGTCCATGCGTGGTGGGATGAACGGCACTGCCTACCAGGCACACCAAATGAGGATGGCACAGAGTCAGAACCGTATGCCAGGCATCCCTAGGCACAATGGGCAGCAGTACCCCATGATGCAGCCACAGCTTCAGAGACAGGTGGAGTGAGCTTGAATTTAAACGTTTTTCTCCTCTACAACAGCTCTATAGTACCCAATTAAAATAACAAATTGGGTGTGGAATGAAAAAAAATACTCCTGGCTTTTTTTCGTATTTTTTGGTTAGAATCAGCATTAATGAGTGTACATCAAACCACAATAAAAGTGAAATCTAAACAGTAATTTGTCAAACCTCCAATTTACATCACAAAATAAACCAAATTTTCAGGAATGCGCAGCACCCTGTTCTGCGAATCGGAGCAAGGCAACAAAACTTGCTGTGACCTTGCAGCCTTATCATATTATCACAAGTAAACAGACTTGTGAATACAGCTCTTTTAATCTAATAGAAATATTACTTTGGATTTCAAGATGATTTTCCTGACAAATACTTTAACTCTGCATGCAAATCACGTTGGAATATTTCTGTGGTTAGATGTCTGCGGCACAACCTGTATTTATTTGATCCTCACGTTACATTAGTCATTAAGGTGACGACTTAGCAGGAAAGGCTGCTTCACATTGCAATTCATGGTTACTCGGATATGAGCTTTCGAGAACGTAGCGACTTGCAGTACTTTCACAACATTCATGATTTTGTGCTTAATTTGAAATTCGTCATTGTTTTTCTATAAAGTCACGATTTTATTTAATTACTGAGATTTAATAACTGATCTGAGAAATTGGGACTCCAGTTCCTCTTTAATCAGGTGTTGGGTTACCAGGTGCCTACATGTTCTACCCGATGAGGCTATCTCTTTGCAGCCTTTCAGGCATTTTTCTTATACATTTCAGACCCCTTTCTTGTGAATAGCTATATTCTTGCAATGCATCGTTAAAATTGTGAACAGGTTTTTCTTCTTTTAAAGTGTAAGTAAACTTTTGGTTTAATTCATTCTAATGTTTCGTTAGCAATGATATCTTGGCAGTAGACACTAATTGCTTCCATTTAAACAGAAGACCTTTCTGACAGTCCATCTTTTCTCCTTTCCCAGCACTCTAATCCAGGTCATGCTGGCCCTTTCCCTGTGGCTTCAATCCATAACAGTGCAGCCAATCCAACCAGCCCTACCACAGGCAGCATGGCAAGTGCCAACCGCGGTCCCACCAGCCCCTCTGTCACCTCCATCGAGCTTATCCCCTCAGTGACGAATCCAGAAAACCTGCCCTGTCTGCCGGACATCCCACCTATACAGGTCAGTGCAACAGGGCTTTTAACCTGTCTGGCACATCTGTAACATTTGACTGAGAGGTCCTCTTCGCAACCTGTTGCTCCCACCTAAGACTCCATTTTGCAGCTCACTGCTCATCAAAGTATTTAATATTAAAATGTACATCCAACCCACTGTAGTCTTCGTCAGAACTCTTCATTGAGTACCATTGAGTGTCCTTTTATTGATTTTAGTTCACAGTGGTGCCCACTCACTATCCCATTTCTCATGAAGATCAGGACACTTTCCACGAGGAAGAATTCCCAACATTATTAAATAAGTCTTTGTATAAAAGAAGGCCTTCTGTCTTCTTGAAAATACCTAAGTCCTTTGCATTCGAGTGTGTTGGTGTTGTATTGAGCTTGAAGTGATGGTTTAAGCTGGCAAATGATTCAGATCATTGTCCTGTTGAAAGAGCAATTTCCTCCTCAGTTTGAGCTTTTTGGCAGAGGGTAGCAGGTTCTTCTCCAGGATTTGTCTGTAATGTGCACCATTCATCTTCCCATCAATCCTGCTGAGATTGCCAGTCCCTGCCACTGAAAAGCATCAACATTACCTGGCTGGTGTGTGGTGTTTGATTTCCTCTATACATATTGCATAGCATTCAGGCCAAAAAGTTCCACTTTTAGATCATATCTGGTCTGTAAATATTAGGTTTCATTTGACTTTTTCTTTATCCTTTTTTTTAAAAAGTTCACCTTTTTCTTGCAGCTGGAAGATGCTGGATCAAGTACACTTGATAATCTGCTAAGCAGATACATCTCTGCGTCCCACCATCTTCCCCTTGGCCCGTCTGGAAGTATGAACCCCTCCCCAGTCCCATCTTCACTGTCCCCTGGATCCACAGGTAGGATTACCACTTCCCTTCCCTTGCCTACAGTGTGTGTGCTCCCTTTGCCCTGAGAGAGCAGCTCACACCTCTTGTTTGACTTCCATATCGGTCATGATTCAATTCAAATCCTAAGCAGGATGCCACTGTTATGTCCTTCCGCAAGAAAGTTCACATTTCAAACTTCAATTTAATGAGGCATTATAAATTTATGAATTTGCTGGCTTGCAAGCAAGTTTATTGGCATTGGGGAATAAGTGATATGTTACTGAATCTTTATTTTAGCAGTTAAAGCTGTGACATTTCTGGCCTATTTTTGACAGTGCCTATTGTAGTTCTCACGGATGCATAAAGGACAAAAGTTCCTAAAGATTCAGAAGTGGTCCACAGTCATTGAACAGAATTTTCTCCTTTTGTAAAAATGCCCTTTCTCTGGATTTATTTTCAGCTGTTTCTACTCATACATTGGATTAATCATTTAATAATTGATTCAGCCTTCATTAGTGTCAAATACCATGTAGCCCTTTTGTGTTTTTGGATACAAAATACACACATTCTATTCACATAAACTATCTAAAGTAGCTTTATTTTAATGTAAATTTAGATGTAATGTACACGTGCATTTTCCTAATTTAGAGAATTAGGAAAATAACTTGACAGAACTTCACAAAAAACGTTTTGCATATTCTGAGCACATATGGCCTTTTTTCTCCCTTTTGAAAATGGGGAAGCAAGCAGTGAATAGGCTAAATATGAAGATTTCCATTTGTAGGAGAGATTGTTTCGAACACTGAAAGATTGTTTGAGAATGTAAATAAAACCCGATGTGTTCAGAATTTTTAAGGATTAGCAGAGTTTTAAGGTTCTGCTTTATCCTTTGTTAAAGCACTAATAGCTAAACACTCTAATTCACTATTTATTAAGTTTGAGATTTTTTTTCATTCATCTGTGTATTGTCTTATGCAGGTATTTCAAATTCACACACACCTGTACGACCCTCAAGCACATCCAGCACTGGGAGTCGAGGAAGGTTAGTTTTAATATCGCCTTTTATGTTGAGACCAAGACCGTAGGTAGAATATAAGGTTCCGTTTTCATGTTTGCTTGCTGGTAGTAGAGCATGATCTCAGTTTGAGAAGTTCCGCCTTTCTTCATATTGTTCTTCATATAAAGAACAAAGTTTCAGTTGATACTCCGAGACAGTGTTGCACTCTGACCTGTTCAGTTATTTGTCTTGCATTTTGTCCACTTTTGATATTGCCCTTTCTGTACTTTATCAGGACTGCTAGTGTAATGTTTGTAGTGTAGTGTAGTAATGCAGTTTTTTACTGGGAAGTGGGGGTTAGCTTTGTGTTTTTTCCAGTGGCAAGTCCTACATCTATATGAAAAATTCACTGGTAGCCTTTCTGATTTCTCCAGCCATAAGGTACATCACTATTTAAACTGCAGAAATTGTTGAATAAAAAGCCAGCATCTTTCATAGGTCTGTCATAAAATATTATCTGAGATGTAGTCAAAGACTGCATTTAATCTGGCTCATGGGAGATTTAGCAGTGTTTTAAAGGCTTATCTTTTAAGAACATTTAAGTTTATATGAGAAGGAAGCAACTGGGGTCATCTTGTTCATCCAGTCGTGTAGATGGATGATAGTAGCTTATGAATAATAAACCTTTCCTTAAGTGATCCTATTGAATAACCATGTTATCCACTTATGTCTTAAAGTTAGTTGGTCATTTTATAATTTATTGTGACACATTTGTGTTGACACATCAACCCTGGTTTGTTCCCAATGTTGATGGTTTTCATTTGTTGGGTCAAAGGATAGAGGAGATTAGAGTCATGAGTAATTCATATGATAGTCAGGAAAATAGTTAGTTCCATGCTTCCTTGTACCTTCATGTTTCCACATCCTGTTTTGCAATACTCTGTGAAATTTTGCTCCTAGAGAATGTAGAATGTCGATAGGCCTGTCTCAAGAACATTTTGAACTCCATCACTATTGAGCAACTCGAGCATGGTGCTAAATGCTCTTTACCAGTTGCATCTGTAAAGCATTGCAAACCAGATTACGTGCTTTTGTCATAAGTACGGCTTAATATGTTTACAGTAGACTAAATCTACTCATACCCTTGATGAACTGAGTTGATTTAGAAAACAATATAGATGTACATTAATGGTTTTTAACATTGAGTTAAAATGTGATGTATGGCATACCTAAAATAAAGGTAGCATAAAAATAAGAATACAATTGAAATGTTTTCCTACTCTGTAAATTTGGAAAATACTCTAAATTCACATCTTTTGTTAGTCATTTGCAAAGTCTCAAAGTTTTCTTGATTGCCATTGGGTATTAAAGGAGCACAAAATACTCAATATATAATGTATATAATGGCTTCAGTGAAAGCTACAAATAATCCATTAGACTTTCCCTTTTGGGTCTGGTGTCCTCTGGGAACTTCAAGGCTAGTGGGATGGTTGCTACCCCATCAGTCAAAAGACAGTTTTACCAAATCATGTTGTCTGATAAGTGGATAAATTGCCAAAGAAGGTAATTCCTCATTCCTTTTGTAGAAAAAATTAGTGCTACAAGATCTGCATCGCGCAGAATTAGTTATAACAAACTTTGATGGAAATGCGTTGTGGGGGAATAAAGACAGATCGAGACTACAGCTTACCGAAACTGGAGATGTGGTTCTGCATGAATGCATATTACAAGACTACAAGTCTCAGTTATTTAAAACAAGAAGAGGGTGCACAAAGTGCAGATAATGAATACTTTTGAGCATCAAGCAGAAATATATATTTGAAAGTTGTTCCTGTTTTACAATATTAACTATTGTACAATTCTTAGTATTTCTTTATTGAAATACCAAATTTGTTCCCAGATTTTTTCATACACATTCTGGTCTGAATAAATGTGGAGGTAGAATGCTTGTGTGTTTATGTAGAATATGAAGAGAAAACTGAAAGCTTGCAACTTGTGCCATTTAACATTGTAACCTCAAAATCTTTTAGTCAATTTTAAATGTTGCTCTTTTGTAGTCTTTAATGCAGCAGGGATACTTAGGGAAATTTTTGAACAGAGAGGAAACCAGGTTTGGCTCTGATTCTTAAGTGCGCTTGATGAATGTGGCACAGCTGCCCTCAATCTGTCTCCAGCTGCGGATCGTCGGGCAGGACAGCGGCAGTGGCGGCGCCTGCGGTGGAGCCGGTGAAGGTCAAGCAGGAGCCAGGCACCGAGGAAGAGTGCGGCTTCTCAGGGACGCAGGTCAAGCAGGAGCGTAGCGAGGATGGGAGGCGGAGTGCCTGCATGGTAGGGACTGTTTCTTGCTTCCTCGTTTTAATAGAAGTAATAGAACATTTTGAAATTGTTGTAGTGACTCATGATTGTTAATTTTTTAATACAAATAAAATTCAAATTAAAAAATGAATAAAAAACATCAAGAAACTAAATATAGTATGCAGTCACAGATTTTGACATATTGTTAGGATTTTAGCAAATAGCAACGCATTTCAAGCACAAAGCTCTTCCTCAGACAGCATCAATATCAATAGTCTACATCTTTGATTCCTATGTAAACTAAGCTATTGGTCAGTTAATGTCTTGTTGAGGATGATTGTTTAGTTAAAATACTGTGATAGCTAGTTAGTTCTCAAGCTAGTACAGTCATCTAGCTGTTAGATGGCTAAGAGGGGGGGGTTAGCACCTGACTTAAGATTTTGAAAATGTAGATCAAGGAAATAACAATTGCAGATATAATTGAATAATTGCATCACTTATAAGTGTGTACTTTGAGCCCTTGCTCATTGTTTCAATATAAATTTTAGTTGTGCTGGAAAGCCTCTTAAATGTATTTCACCAGTGCAAGTTCACTGCAACAGCGCCTGTGTGCTTTTCAGATGAGCAGCCCTGAGAGCAGCCTGACGCCTCCCCTGCCAGCGCCTGCTCCAGCGGACACTGCGGAGATGGAGACGCTGCGCTCCTTAGAGGAGCGCGTCAAAGTGGAGCCTACAGAGGCGGTGGAGAGCTGCCAGCAGCAGGCCACGCCACCCCTGACCAACGGCAAGAGCTCGTCGCGCAACTCGATGCACCGCTCCCCCCGGGCCGCCGGTGCCAGCGGCGACAACAAGGACGACGATCCCAACGAGGACTGGTGCGCGGTCTGCCAGAACGGGGGCAACCTGCTGTGCTGTGACATGTGCCCCAAAGTCTTCCACCTTACATGCCACGTACCTACGCTGCTCAGCTTTCCCAGGTACCACCTCTCTGTTAATTGTCCGTACTCTAAAAGTCCCACTTCTGCGGGGTTGAGTCTTCTTATATGTCGCCAAATCAACACATGCAGCTCTCTTGGGCTCCTGTGCAAAGCTCCCTCATAACATGTCAGTGAAGCCTCAAGGAGAAGGGGGCAGCACAAATCCATCAAAACTGATTTCCCACTTCAGTAATTGGTGCCAGCAATGATCTGAGCCTTTTTGGAACTTTTCTCCAGGGGTGGAATGTATCCCATCCTTCTTGTTTCGGAAATTAAAAACAAACTAAGCTAATGTAATTTATGATTGAATCTTATTAAAATCCCCCAGAAAGCCCTGTATTTTCCACTAAAATAATCTGCCTAAAGCAGTATATACAAGTGCTGGTGACTATTGCACAGATGTTTCCATTCATTAACATAAGTTAATTGTACCCTTGTTCGTTCTACATGAAGTACTTCCAGATGTTGTCACTGTTTGTGCAGATGGTGATTGTCCTGGCAGTATTTAAGACCTCCTTCAATATTTTCTTTCCTGCAGTGGGGAGTGGATCTGCACCTTCTGTAGAAACCTTTCCAATCCTCAGGTTGAATATAACTGTGACAACCTGCAACACAGCAAGAAAGGAAAGACAGTGCATGGCTTGAGCCCCATAGACCAAAGGGTGAGTCACGTGGGGAAAATGTGACAAATGGACAAGGCAGAGAGCTTCAAGAGCTTCAGTTTGTCATATTACTGGCAGCTTCCTTTCCACACTTTTTCGTTACCCATTAAAAGCCAGTTAAGCTAGATGTGCATTTTGAGCTGTTAGGAATTCTATCTCATCTGTAAACTTCACCTCCTCTGTTTAAACCTTGAGTAATTTGCTGATAATTGTCACAGCCTTTGTTTAAACAAAAGTTTTTAGAATACAGGTATTTTTTCTATGTTTAATAACAATCACTGTACATGGCATATCTCATAAACTGGTTTCTTTTCTTTTTACAGAAATGTGAGCGACTTCTCTTGTATCTGTTTTGCCACGAGCTGAGTGTTGAATTCCATGAGCCAGTTCCAGCTTCAGTAAGTGGCAGGGCTCTATTTGGAATTGCAGAGCGTGTGCAGTGCATTGTGAACACTAATCATCGATGATTGAATTGAAACTGCCAGCAGTCCAAGACTACTCTTTTCAGTGCATTTTATATACAGGACTGAGAAGTGTGGAAACAAGGGAAAAGAAATATAGGTGGTTTCTAGTATACGTTTAGGGTGAAGACAAGAAAATCATGGTGTATCGCAGACTTTTTAAAAATATATATGTATTCTCCCCATAAGAACAATGTAAATTTGTAGGTTCAGGACTGCCTATGCTACTTAAAGGGGGAGGCTTTTCCCATAAGAATAAATAGAATAGTCAGGTTACCCACTATAAATTAGATTGTTTTGCTTCTAGCTAAATAAAGTATAAAGGATCCAATTATAAATCCCATTTATGTTCCTAAGTAATGTAGCCTTTTGCAAAGTGATTTAGGGAAATAATTACATGTTATTTTGAGATATGTTGCCAACGTACAGCTCAGTCACAGGTATATACATTTAATGTACCCATAACACATAAATAAACAGATAAATGGCACCTCGTTACTTAGCTTTGCTGAAACCACCAGAGTCAGGGTAGTTTTTGTCTTCCACTCATTCTTCATGCATTTGACATTAGGATCAAACCTTAATCATATCATGTGGTGTTAGGAACTCCACTTTAATGTTGGAATTTAAGGATTCATAATCTGACTCATAATCTAATCATGTGCAACGGAATTGTCTACTAGAAGAAAAGTTTTAATGTTTAATGCTCTTCGCAATATTTTCCATTTCTGAAACAAAATAATCCACAAACCACCTACATTGATGGCTTTTGGTATCTGTTTGGAAAAACATAAGTGTTACTTAATCTTACTCCTACTTGACATCTGACGTAGTAGAGCCAGATCTGCCTTGCCATTGACTTTGCTTTCCCTCTTTCTTTGTCTGCTTTCCCTTTAGTTGCTGATCAACAGTTTTTTGACACCATAAACCTACGGTCTTAGTTTCCTGGTACCGTTTGAGCTTTTCTTCAATTGCGTAAAATCTGAAATGTACTGTTGCTGGAACAAATTTTACTGCTTTTCAGATCCCTAATTACTACAAAATCATAAAGAAGCCGATGGAGCTGAGCACTGTGAAGAAGAAGCTGCAGATGAAGCACTCCCAGCACTACCAGAACCCACAGGACTTTGTTGCAGATGTTCGTCTCATCTTTAAAAACTGTGCAAGATACAATGAAGTAAGTGACCCCCAGTTGGCTCTTTTGCAGCTGTGCTGAAGGGGCCAGCCCCTGCTGTCTGTTGTCTGTTGAAGTGTTCACTCTGTCATGACTTTGAATCCTACAACTAGAGCATGTGGCATTTTAAATGCACTTCCTCACGTTGTGGTGGATTTCTGCTGATGGGTTCTTGAACTTAAGTGGCTGAGACATAGCTTTTATTCACAGGTGCATTTCTGAAAACCGTAGTCCTATAAAACCAAGGCTGCACGTGTAGGCCTTGCAGAAATAGATGCGTCATCAGGTCATGCATGGAATCCCCTGCATGTTTTCAGAAATCCTGCTGGACATTTGATACAGTCCTTCAGGGCTTCTGGGTTTAGTCCCTGTGAAAATACATCTTTGAGGCTGCTAACCTCCGTCATTGGGAATCCCTACTGCTCCTTGCTGGGATTAGTCATTTTTCTTTAACAATCAACAATTATTGATGAGTATGGCCATTTTTAGGTGTTAAGCAAGATAGATTCGTAACAAGATGAATTTGAGGTGCTGTACATTTTTACATGCACAAAAGCAGCACAGATGGACAGCTGTTTATTTTTCCCTTCCTTTTCATTCAATTTAAGAAAACAGTCTTTATTGGGCATAAATGGTGTCAAAAGCGAGCCTGGATTGATCCAGCATCATGATTTAGTAGTCCCAGTTCATGATTGCTGGCTGTCTCAAGCCAGGGTGGATCAGGCCGTGTCTGCATCGGCACTAAGGTTTGAGCCTTGTCTGAGATGCTGATCCATTACAGTGAAGTTGAGATGGATGTTTCTTTCACCTTTATTTGAGATTGGGGAGCTCAGAAATAAGGACATTTCACAAGTTTAAATTCTGTGAAAAGCAAAACCGGGTAATGGCCTGCTGCAAATTAAATGTCTTCGAAAACAAGATTGCCCTTTCGCTTCAGATTGTTTCAGAACATTAAAACTAAGTTTGAACATTTCATAGATTTTTTTTTTGCCACAGTTTCTCATGTTTCATCTGCCATTAGTTTGGATCACCGTGATTATGCAGCTATGACAGGCAGAGGGGAAGTAGAGCAGAAATGCTTTTCACATGCTTGAGGAATTTCTTGCTTCTGCTTTAGCATGTGCATCAGCACTGCTGTGTTAATTCATTTGCAGCATGAGTATTTTTGTCTGTTTTCCACCTGCCACAGTTCTTGTCTGTGTTGCCGTTTACTACGTCTTACTGTAGATGTCAGATTTGTTCCATGACATTGACCTGTTCATCTCATGATGCACAGTTTATACCACACGCCATGCTGTTCATGTGTACATGACGAATGGGGAGCTTGGCTTCACAGAGCAATCACATTTCACACTGGTCGTCTGCTCACCTGATGGGAGCTGTAAGAATCTCCTGTGGTGCCAGTGCATTGTTTTTGTGTCTCGCTTTGCAATCTCGGAGGCATTCCGTTAGCCGCAGAGTGAAGCTGAGGTGTTGCTGTCAAAATCGGGTCATAACCCGCAAGAGAAAAAACACCTCCCCCTGACTTGTGTGCCCCGTTTGAGTGTTTAATACCTCTAAATTCTGTCATGCACACTACCTTTGAGTACTTGGAGTCTAAACAAAACACTTGTTTCAAATACACAGAGGCAAGACATGTAAATCACATCCCAAGTTGCAAGTTTAAAAAAAGAGAACCACTCATTTGTTCTGGAACCATACACAGCAGTGACAAAGTTTGGGAAAGTTTGTTGCTGCCATGTTTCATTGAAGGTAGCAGTGTTTTTCCACACTGAGGTGATGACATTGGCAGCCCTGCAGAAATGCAGCTCATTCCTGGCGCGGTCTGCATGGCGGGCCTTAAGCTATGATCTTACTTGAGACTTGTTTGCAAGGTTGCTTTCATAGTCAGTAGTTCTCATGACTGGTGACTTGCCAAAGCTGGGCAGAGCTGTGAAGCTTCATCTTCCTGCCTTCGCACTGTGTGGTGAGAACTGGGTTTACCATCTCCCCCAGCCCACCCTCCAACAAGCGACTTGATTTATTAGATCAAAACCTTTCTGTTGTCTCTGCCATAGCCTGTGCAGTCACCACACATGAAAAGCCCCGTTGAGCATTTGTGGCTTGCAGCATTACAGTCCTGGTTCACCTCGACGTTTGTGTTTTTACATAGATGTCCAGTGATCATTAATTATCCCAGACTCACTTGGCATTGCTGTGTATGGTTTCCAGAAAAGAAAACAATGGTTCATTTTCCCAATTTGGGCAACGGTTTACTAAAGTCTGGTCTCTGTGTTTGCCTCTCTGCGTGTGGTATAAAACTTTTTGTTGTTGTATTTTTATTCTACTGTCCCTTTTTTAGATGTCTCGAATTATCCAAGTATATGATGAGAAAACCCAGATTAATGAGCAGGTAAGCTCTTTCTGATACCTCGGTGAAGGGTTCTTCAGAACCTGCAATGGCCGTCTGTTGACCCTCCCTGCTGTCCTCCCTTCTCTTCCAGGCGGACTCCGAAGTGGCCCAGGCAGGGAAGGCGGTGGCCTGTTACTTTGAGGAAAAACTGAAGGAGCTGTATCCAGACGAGACCTTCCCACCCACCCCGGACACAGAGCCCGAGGATGAGGAAGTGACAGAAGATTCCGACGACGACTTTGTGCAGCCACGCCGCAAACGATTAAAATCAGAAGAGAAGCCCATGCATATAAAATAAAAAAATTTAAACTGAACAGAAAGCTTCTCTGAAGAGACGGGAACTGTTGTATTGTGCTTTTTTTTCCGAACCGGACTCAACTTTTTGTTGCGGACATTCAGAGACACTGGGAGGAACTTTTTTTCTTGGGGGAAAAAAACGTCTTTAGACAGTATTAGAATTAAAAAAAACTGCTTGTACAGATTTAAAGAAATTTGCTCTGCTTTTGGTTTGTTAAATTAATTACCTGTTTCTTTCTATTTTTTTTATTTGTTTGTAAATCCATTGTGAATTCTGCTTTTTAAAAAAGGCCCCCTTAACCCCTTTGGTATATTATAAATTTCAACCGTCATCTGCAAGATGCATGCATGTGTGGCCATACATGCACATCCACATCCACGTCCTGTGAACAGTTGATCTTTCTGGACCACTATATCCTGAATGCACCTGTGTTATTGGTGTTGACCTTTGCTTTTAGGAGCATTAAGGATGCTGCATATGCAGTATGGTTATGCCATTGGCAGCCACAAAGGAAAAAAGCAATGAAGGATATCATTTTTCAAGTACTTTGCAGCTTTGGTGTTATGGTTTTACCTCATTGCCTTACCATTCTTTCCAGATGAGCTTCTGTGTGTATGGCTGATGTCCAGGAGATCAGCATGTAGTATGGTGAAATGGGTTGATATGAACACTAACCAAGGTACAGGAAAGCTTGGCTGTACAGTGTCTTAATTTGGGAGGCAGGTCATTCAAATTCATTTATCCACCGTGTTGATGGGGAACATGTTGCACATGAGTTGTATATATTTATTTGATAAGTTTTCGGTGATGTTCCCTACTCTGTTTCTGGTCATTGGAAAGGTGTCATTCTTTCAAGGCTGCATCAGTTATTCAGCTTGCAAAACCGGTCTCTAAGTAGTTGGTTTTATTTGTGCATAACGTTTAACAGAGCTGTGCATCGTTGGGTCTGTTAACTTCACTGATATGACATTCCTGCATTTTCTGTATACACTGTTAGTAATAGTGAAGCGTTGTCCTACCTTCATGTAACCGACATGGGTAATATACTGTTCAAGCACAGTGCAGCATCACCCCAGTGTGATGTGACAACGCAATTGTCATTTCAGCACAGAAAGAGCACTGAAAGGAAGGAAAGAGGATCCTGTCCAAGAAGTAAGCCCTAGCTACGCTTTTGCTTAGTATGACAACACTGTTTTCAGAAGGAACTACTGTGGTTGGAAGGACAAAACACCATCCTATCTTAATCACTTAGGTTGTCTTTCATAACTACCAAGACGTTGAGCCATCCAGTGTACATCTATGTATAATTAGTTTTTTTGTGTGAAGAAAGCTTTTAGTTCTAACTGCACACATTCTAAGATGTATGCACTTTTTTTTAACCCAGTAAGCTGTTTGTACATTGTTTTAGTTTAGGTTCTTATTAACAGCCATATCTGGTTGTTCCTTGGTGTCCAGTTGGTCTAATGTGCGACACTGTGTGGTGGAAATATTGTAAGGTTTACCTTTCGGTCCCCCACTGCCTTAATTAAAACTTTACAAAAATCTCATTTTAACTGTGAAATTAAAAGTTAACACTTGCAGATTTTGTTCCGACATTCAGTCGTGACAACCTTATGGTATCTCCATTAATTTCTGTACTCTGTCACAAAATGTGCAGGTTAGAATGCCTCCATATTTGAGGTTTTGTCTAATGTCTAGGGAATCCTTTTTAACACCTGTGATCTACATCTTTATATCAATCTTGGTTGTTGGGAGGCAAGAAGGAAAAAAACAACTTGGTTTTAGGTTGGGTTGCTCAAAGAGCATGACAAAAGGAAAACCAAGTGGAAGAGGTGCATAGCCACTTGTGTGTTCATAGCATCGAGGACCACTGTAAACTCTGATCTGATCTGATCTGCCGTTACAGCCCTCCATGCTTTGTTTGGGTGTTACGTTTTAGCATTGAACCTGCAAGCCTTCATAAACCTTTTTAGAACCTACATATTTTAATAAAGACAGATGCTTAAAGATGGGAAATATTCTGAATCACTTGAGATTTGCTGAAGTTGATTTACACTGGTTTAATAGACTAATGAAACGGTTCTTGCTGGATGCTCTCTACTGGATTTTTTCAATTGAGGCTGATGGCTCTGGATCACACAGCTCTTTTTGCTTATTTAATTCTGACACAGTTCCCCTTTCCCTTCTGCTCGTAATTGCTAAGTAGAGTTGCTCTGCAGTGTTTGGAACACTTGCTGCTGAAATTGGTGGCTATGGGTACGGTGTTTTGCTCCAAGATCTATTGTGCTTCAGCGCATGATCGCTTTCCATTCTAATTCTAAACCCTCAGTCCATTGAAACTTGCATGCACTGGCTCCCTGGTACTACTGCTTTTCAGATCTTTAAAAAGATGACACTGGTTTTGTTTCTATTAAAAGCTTTTAAATTGTCTCAAGAATTCTGAATTGATTTCACCTTTCTGTGCTATCAATGTAATTTCTTTGCTGCAGGAATGTTTGGAAATGCTGGAGGAAATTGCTGTCAAACTCCAGCTTGAAAATTGATTCTGTGTATTAATCTTTACTAGACTGTTGTGAAAACACGTGAATTGAAAAATAAGATGCAACTGAGATTAATTTTTAATTAAAAAGTTATTTGGCACATACTGAAAATCTCGGTTATCTTCAGCAGTATTGATAATTTGCCTGGATTCTGGAAGTGACCAAAGTATAGATGTTTTTCTGTGACTGCTTGTCCTGTATTATCTAAACCACATATGCTCACTCTTCCACACCTTTGGACTAGAACTGGAGCAGTGTGAGACCTGCAAGATTAAATCATTTTTATATGACCAGCAGTTATTTTAACCATTATTTTTTTCTGCACATATACCCTGCATAAAAATGCTATTATGTGAGAAATTGGGACATAAAGAAAATTGTTTTAATACTAAACAAACACCAGATGGCAACAGTCACATTGGAAGTGTAAAGGTTTGTTTGGATCATATCTGCTGATGTGAGTCCAGAAGGCTTAGTGTTTGCCTAGTGCGAGTTGACTGATAAGGCCTTGGACTGATCTCTCCTTTCAAGCCTAAAATCGCATTTAGGAGAGAGTGCTTCTACAACACCATACCATGCAGAAATCCCACACACCTGTTCTAGGTATGAAAAATGACACCTATTGGAGCTTTTCTAAATTTGGTGATAATTGATGCTAGGTCTGGATGAGATCAATTATTTTGAAAGTTTAATTAACTTACCAAACATTTAACATTGTATTTTAATTGTTGGCAGTGTGAAATAGTGGTTAGACCTCTAGATTGCCGTAAGGTAAAAGGGTGTGCAGAATTTATTTCCAGTATAAATCTGCAGTTATAGAACCCAGATGTGTTAAAAAAAACCTGAGTCTGCTAGACAGCAGTATTGGTATGAGAGAGAAAGTGTGACTGTGCTATTTGGAAGTTCATGTTTTAAACCTGAACAAGAGGTTTCTTTAATTAAACCCTCATGATTTGTTTTCATAAAGGTGAAATCTCATTAATCTTCTGCCTTGACTGACTTGGAGATGATCTCTGGAAACAAATGAACTGTGGTTCTGTACAAATTGCATGTCAAAGGTTTGGCGACACTGACGCAACATCCCCAATGCAGCAGGTTTTCATTTTTCTATTTCAATATGTGCTTACAAATGCTGGATTTCAGGATAGAAACATGAAAAAATGTGACTTTGATTATATGTAAGCATTTTGTATGTTAAATGTCCAGTCATGATCGGCACCCTGCAGTTGTGCAATGGTCTACTTGTTGAGGGGTTTGCACTCGGTTGCCTAATTGACGAGCAGGACAGCAAGCTGGGCATGTAGTGCAAAGATCCATTATGTAATGTCAGTTGACACGCAAGCAAACGTAAGTGCTGTGTCAATGAATGATTTATTGTATAAGAATCTACAGTGGTACCTTGGTTATAAAGGCTGGTGGTGCTCCAAGTGCTGGCTGTCATTTAAAAAATAAAATCTTTTAGCTATGGGTAGGGCATCCCAGAGTGCACGTGTCCTCCCAGCTTTCAAAGATATGCTGGTTAGGGTTCACCATTCCGACAACAAATCCTAGCATGATCACATTAGAGCCAATGCTGGGCTCCTTCCTACTGAGGTGGGGGACCTCGAAGGAAAACCAGCATGTTACTCTGTGGTGTTGGTGTACCATCAGTGCTCTTCTGGATCAATGCCCCTGTATGGGAAAGGGACCATCCTGAAGGAGAAAAGATTTAGCTCCTGGTCGCCCATTAAAGATCCTGTGGCAATGTAGGAAAAGGGTTGTTTTTGTTGCTGTCATGGCTAAATCCTGCTCTGGGCCTTTATGACATGGCCTCCCAAAACTTCCCTTTTAATTAAACTACTGAAGTAATTTCTCCCTCCTCCTCCCTCTGAGCTGCTGTGTATAGGAGCTGCTGGTACAGAGTAGCCGCTGCCTGTCACCCGGGTGGGGCTGCAGTGGTGGGTGAAGTTGGTCACCTCCTGTATGTAAGTTTGGGATCTTGTGAGATGCAATGTGCTATAGAAGTGTATGGTGCTGGAATTTTTCTTCAGTCCCTCTCTCTGTAGCCCTGCGATGGACTGGCCTGCCAAGGGTGAGGTCAAGTGTGTGTGTGCTCAGTCACTCCTAGCTCCACGTGAAACCCGGACATGATTCACCCGCTGCAGCACTACAGTCTCAATGGTAATGGACGGGATGGATTATTTTGACTTTGTGCCTTAAGAGCATGCAGTATAAAATGAATTAAAATGTGTATGTGTCATTTTATATGTAGTAAAGGCAGCCTGCTGTCCCCTGTAGGAGTCCTAATCATCCTGATCAATGTCTCCAGCTCTGCCTCTCTCTGGATGTCACCCTGAGTGCATTTCTAAACCTCCTTGGTCTGAGTACCAGTGTTGTCATTGTCATTATGTATTATATATAGTATGTATATATAAAATAAATGCAATTTGTTGTAATAGAGGAAAGGGATAAATTGGTGGTTTCTGAATCTTTATTTAATTGTTTAAAGTTGTTTTGACACTTA